GAGAAGGGAAATGGAATCCAGGAACGCAAGGGCGCTTGATGAACAGGAAAATGAGGATTTTTCGTTCGAAAGATCAAAGGGGGGAGTAATAACGTCGTGAAGTTAGTTTCTTACGTTAATACTGTACAGAGATAATTCCGATTTCCAGCCGTGAATGAGTCTTCGTTCTGTGTCTACCGCTGGATTCAAGCGTTTTAACGTTTTCCAACATGAAACGATCGCTTCAACTGCAACATGTCAACTTAATCCTTTATTACAAGATTAGGCAATATTCTGCGATCATTTTTCAAATATTTTACAAAAATATTTTATTTTCCACTCGAAAATCGTTCTCTTCCTAGTCATGATAAGAGACACTGATTACAATATTTTCCTTCAGCCGGCGTATGCGTGCTGTCACGTTCAATTGCAGGTAATTGCAGCTGTCCGTTATTTCCTTCAAACAGTGGAACTCGGCTCAATACTTCACTTGCTCGTTGTTCCTCGCCGTCTGCCGATCGATCTCACACATTGCGAGGAAGTATATTTTCGCGAGTGACTTCGTCTCTGCTTGTCCGCAGGATGTTCGACTGGAAATTGTTCAAGACTGCTCGATCGAAAACCGTGCACAACGCCTACGGGGATACTTGGATTAGGGCGATCCCGAAATTTCTCTGCGTGGGAATTACGCCAATGTGAGTACCATTGAATTTCAAATATCCTCTGCTGCGAGAGAACTTTGCTACGATATACGTATAGTTAACAGTTTCTCACTATTAGCGCTAATAACATTGTGGACGACGAGAGAAGCGAGAAAGGAAAAAACATTAAACATATAAAAAATAAAATCAAGTGCGCTTTTTAAATCTTCTTTTTTTTTTTAAATTCTGGTTCGATTTCTGTTTTTTTTTTTTTTTTTTTTTTTTTTTTTTGAACGATACTCCTTTGCCATCTTTAAAAAAATTTATTTCATTTCATTTTGATTAATAAAAATTTCTCCATTTCTGCTTCTGAAAAAAAGAAAAAAAAAGACAAATGAAATATTTCACGGTTAAAATTTTTTTTTTTTTTGCACATCTGCGATCTTGCAAAAATCGTGCAAAACATCCCAATCGTTTAACGATCATGGATGACAACGTTTGAATTTTCCATTCTAATCGACAAATAACAATTCTCTGGAAATTCCAGTTGCACTTATCGAACAAAAAAAAAAGGAAAAGAATGATTCTTTAAACGCGATTCCTCTTCGTTAACAATAATTTTGCTTTAATTGCCGGTTACGTGCAATGTGATTTCAATGATGTCACGATTGTTATTGCTGTTAATGCAGAATCATACGCTTGATACACGATCGTATCAGCATATTTTAACAGCGTTGGAAGGCCGGAATCGGGCGGTATCGTACTCTGGGGAATATCTGCCCGTTCTTTAATTACGCATTTATGTATCTCTTAATTGCAAAGTGCATCGCAAGAGGAAAAAATAGTGCGATGCAGAGTGAAAAGTTCGCGAGAATAAGCAGGCGGGTCGATTTCATTTCAATCGTTGTAAAAGCAGCGTTTTTTCCCATGTATGATCTCAGACTTAATATTCTAAGGTTCATGTGCAATGCAATGTACATCTTAGAACAGATAGACATACATTGCCCTTTAAAATTATGCGAACGTTTGATACGATTGAATTAAATTTATTTTCATGCATATAAATAATGTAAATAATATAATTTATGTACAAAGTAAGCCATTTGCTTTTTTTTTATATACAGTTATCCTGTTATATGAGAGGAAAATCGCTCGAATGTATGAATCACGTTTAATATTAAACAGCATCACTGATAAACGTGGCACAGGAATTTCTCAAGCACGGACTATATTTGTCACTGATGCCTATTCGTATGTCATTCGGATATGAACACTTTCATACTTCGAATCGAATAAAATACGTTTCAGTCTCTGTAGGAATGGATGAGAAACAGTTTTTTGAAAAATTTACTCAGAATTAAGAAGTAAACTCGACAACAAGCTTAGAGCAGTGTCTAAGAACAATAGAACGTTCCTGTCCAACATTCTGCTTGTTTGTAAACTTTCTTTAAAATAAAACATTTTTCATTCCTGCGAGATAACAATTCGTAATTCGTTCGAGTGAAAACTGATGGACGAAAATAGGGGAATCCAGAGCCAATAGTGGTTGGGGGAAAGTGACGAGTGCCCCTACTCCAAGTAGAACAACCAGCTATAGTACGTACACATACTTACTTCCATTTGGAGAACATTTAACGTGGCTGGAGCTCAGTTCTACGGTTTCGCGCGCGCCATTCACACGAGTCGCGTAAACCCTAAGAAATTATAGCAATATAAATGAAACTCTGGTATCTGAAAGCAGACATGAAGTACTCTTCGGTACTCGTCACTTGACTGTATCGTGAACTTTTCCACTTACTTGCGGCAAAACGGTCAAAGAAAAAAAAAAAAAAAAAAAAAAGAAACTGCAACGAATCTTGCACTACACTCGTATCTGGCCAAAAAAAAAGATGCTGGCCATTTTTGAAAAGTTGAAGCATCGTCGTAAAAAGTCGTCGAAACGACTGTCTTTCAAATCGGCCGTAGTCGGAGATTTTCGAATTTCGAAATGCGAGAAAACGAAGGGGACGAGGACGTATAAAAATAATGTTGAATCAACCGCGATCAAGAACAGAGTTTTAGAGAGAGCAAATGACTATGATAGAAAATATTTCCCCTCCGAGTCCAGCGAGATTAAAAACAGGATTGACGAGTGCGAGGAAGCGAGGGATACACAAACGTACAAGGAGAAATACCTGACGAATAAAAATTTGTCGATAATAACCGACGACGAGTCTGATTCGTCTACGGAAAGAACCTTCGCCGCGATAAAGTCGTGGGAGAAGGGACTTGACAAGAACGATCGTCCCGCGAGGAGAAGTTTGGACGAATACGTAATCGTGGGTATCGAAGAGAAGCCCGTGACCCCGAGTAAGAAAACCGCGAACGATAACAGTGATTCGGAAAGCGTGAAGACGAGAACTGAGTCGGGAAGCAACTGCTGCCCAAGGTGTAACAACGCGTGGTACGCTGTGTTCAAGCGAAAAGTTTTGCGAACAAATAAGATTTCTCCTTGTGTGATAACAGGGTGAGTGTAACTTATTTTGTATACGAATATAAAAGATTAATGACAAAGTTCAAACAGAATGGTCACTTATCTGCTGTGCCATCAAAGTAAATTAGCATAAGTAAATAAGATTCAAAGTCGTGAATGAACCATGGCAACTTGGATCGATAAATTGCACGGTTATTACGTGCACCGAGTCTATCAACTATCAACTATCAAATCCATTTTCTTTCTCACGGATTTATGATCTAGATGTACGTACGTACGTGCAATCGACGATTATTATTATTTATAGTTGAAGACGGTTTAATATTGCAACAAGTTGTTAAAAAGATATTAGTTGGTAATATATCGACATTTTCTTCCTTTTCACGTCACACGATACGTGTCAATTTTTGAAAACTTCTCCATCGTGACAAAGACATTGGCCTTTGGAAATCTTGCGATTCTAATTGTCAAAGTCCGACTGAAACACGGCTGTGATCTATCGGGGATTCGTCATTCGTCGTACCCCAACGACAAAGGCATCGTTGGATGGCCATCGTCTTTATCCACCGATAATACGAGCCACAGAGGAGTAAACGGATGTTTGACCGACGATAATGCACTTCTCACGGTTGGGAAACACGGTGCGGACGGTGCACGTGGCAAGGGAGTTTAAAGACCCGCTGGAAAAGCCGGCAGTTGTTGTTTATGCGGGGAAACTAGCGTGGTTGAGTCACTCGAGTAAATGACAGCAAGGTGTAACGCTTGCGTGCCCACCATCGATAGCACGAAACGATAGCCCGAAACGATAGCTGAATAGACTGTACGACGTGGTGAATACTTAATTCTTTGTGTGTTTACGTTTTCGTTCGATCGACGAGAATTTCGAGATCCAGCTGCCAAGTATACATGACGAATAATAATAAAATTCTCCTCTTCGCTTCAGCGGTGAGCTCGTGCTGACTTATTGTTAGCGATTCTACGAGAATTTCATTCTTATGCACCGAGGCAGTGCCATGCTCAGAAATAATCATTCTCGCTTCATGCGTGCCGATAATACGAAACGCCGTTGCGCACAATAGTTTCTAATTACGTATTACCCAAAGGGCCCCTGTCCGAACTTCATTCAGCCCTAAGTACACGGTACGTGAGCCGAGTGGGCTGTGTGCGCGAGACAGGATCTTGCGCAGAACGTGCGTAATGGACTTCCTGCGTGCATCGAACCTGAACACTGGCTGCCTCTGCATCCTGGCATTGAACACGGCTTTTTCATCTTTCCACAAACGATTGTTTGCTGCGCGATATGACCGACTGACTTGACTCGCTTCGTTTATTCGCGATTATTCGACTGAAACGAAGTTCCTCCGCGGAACAATTCGAATCAAAAACATGACGTTATCGTCAGTGAGGATTTTGCCACTAAGATGATTCGGTGCTGCATTGATTGCTTTGAAAGAGAAGAAACAGACTTCCAATATGGTATTTACAAGAGAATGGATTTAATATTTAATTAACGTTTCAAATGTTTCGCTCTTTCGATCCATCGATTATAGATTTGTAATTCGTTTGATCCAGCGCCGGTAGTAAGAAATGCTTTCGTACACTCCCGATGCTACGGCGCAATCGTGACCGAAGGAAACGACACCATAAATTCTGTTCCCACTCACCAGTGGCCCTCCGGAATCACCGTAACAAGAATCTTTCCCGTCTGCCCCGTAACATAGATGGTGTTCTTTCTTCACGAGCATCTTGTATTCCGGAACTTCGTTTACGCACCATTCGTACGGCGTGTAGTGAACGTAGACACCCATTAAAAGATCGCTTGCTGTTGCCTGGGACAAAGTTTCGAACTCGAGAATGTAGAAATACAAACTTCGAATTTTCTCGAATTTATACATTTGAAAATTTGGACAGAGAGAACATTTCAACATTTTAAACAAAAGCTGCGAGAATTCAACGTTTACGAGTTGGAACGAGCATGGGGAATAATAAATCTAAACTGGAAACCACGGTGCATGACGGTCAGGGAACAAGATACTCACGACGCTTTGATTGTTGGTGTGACCCCAGCCACAAACGTACAGTGTTCGAGGTGGTCTGCTGGATTCTCGGGGCAATCGAACGGCTCGAACAGTGCTCGAGAATCGAAAGCCAGGTCGTACTTCGAACAGCGCTATATCGTGACACGGCATGTTCAATCCCGAATACTCGTACGCGGTGCCGTTGTACGCGTGTATCTTTGTTAATTTGTGCAGCGATCCTCCTCGATAAAGTTTGCTCGAACCAGCTCGAACGAAGTAACCTGTTGTTCTCTCTGAAACTCTAAAAAAATATCCGTTCGATTATTGCACGGGAAACGTGGAAACTTTTTTAATATAACAACTCACAAACAATGAAGAGCAGTGATGCCCCATTTTCGGGACAAGATACTAGCGCCACACACAAGTCCGTCGAAACTGTGCAAAGACAGCTGGAAAAAATTGCTTTCATCGTCTCGGAACATCGAGGGAATGTTTGATCAGATTTTGCTCGATTAATTGCACTAACCATGAATGGTCGATGTTTTATATCAACAGGATGTCCTCCGATGACTCTTCCAAACGTTGTCTTGCAAAATACGTCTCCTACATTTGTTGCAGCAAGCGTACCTAGAAAAAATGTGAACAAAAGTTTCCACTTATTGATTATTAGGTTTAAGAAAATAGTAATTACTACTCGAATATATAATATGTAATAAAATTAGAAAGATATTCACAAGTTAGGAAGAAGATAGTAGATATTCCGTGCATTTCTGTCAGCAGTTTGACCGACTGTGTGTTAATAAATCCACGTGGCATACAGGATGCTTTGTATCTTCGGAAGCTATAAATGTCATCCATTTTGCTTATATATCGTCGGAAATTATTGCTATCTACAAGTAGAGAGATTGAGGAAATGGTTCAACTCCTACGAATGATAACAATTTTTAAAAAAATATTATTTCACCGTTGGAAGAACTTGAGATTCGACTTTGATTATAATTCACGGGGACAAGGAAAATAAATATATCTTTGTCGCGTTAGAGATCGAAAAACTTCCGTTTATTTTCTTTTTTTTTTTATCTCCTTTATTACATTCACGTGGAATTATGTTACTTGGAATTTTTATCATTTGCGTTTTCGTCCAAAGATGGTCGAGTTTCTATCCAATGGAAGATAATCACGCGAAATGAAATCGACAATTCCATCGTATTCCGCAGAAACCAATGATCTACGTTGGCGGTTCCACTCGTTGTCGAACTCTGAAGATGTTTGATCGTTCGTAGAGTGGCCGAGGCAGTACAACGAAGAAACGAAACCGATAGTTTCCATAAATATCATGACTAAAAGAAGATTGTTTGCAATACAAGTCAGCGTGTTTTTGTTGCTGGCGTTTCCACGTCTGGCTAGGTGATTCATCGATTCAATCAGACTGTTCATAGAGCTGTCCACATCCTTTATCATCTCTGTAAACGAAACATTTATATATATTTCATATCTGTACGTATGAAATTAAATTATTTCATCTTTTCTTATTAAGTCATTGAGGAACAGAAGAGGTTCCTTTAATATGAAAATAATGATTCGTTATTTCAGGAATAGGATAAAATATATCCAGGTATAATATAACCTGATCTTGGACGAGTTGCAACAAGCTCTTGCATATTTTCGGAATCCGAATTTTCGTCGCTATTCCACTCGGCTTGCGACGTGTCTGACGAGCTCGGCTCCTTTCCACTGAAACTCCCGCCGTTGTGAAGCTCCAGCAGTCTGGTCATCCAGTCCATCAGGCTAGACAGAATCCTCACGTGGCTCTGCCAGGCTTCCTTCAAAGTATCCTTCATTCCCTCGGCGAAGAATTTTTCAAAATCGATCGCCGAGTGGTGCATCTTATTTATTGCTCCGAACGTTCTTGCTAACGCTCCCCTCTTGTACAGTTGCAACGCTTTCCAGATTTCCCTGTGCCTGTGTGGCAGAGAATTAACTTAAATTAATCGAAGAACTTTCTCTTCAATTCTATCCGATTCTGTTCGATTCTCTTGAAACATTCGAAATTTGTGGGAACCCAGTGAAAACGAAATGACACGAAAATTTGAAAATGTAAACTAATACTAACTTCGCCATTGCTTTCTTATCCTTGTGCGCAGATCTCGAAAGTCTTTTCAGTTTCCTCTGGCCATCCTCGTAAATTCCAATGTATTGGCACAACTCGTCGACGAATCTTTGCCCCAGTTCGCTTCTCGACAGCGTATCGCCGAGCTCGCCAGCAGCGCGATAAAAAGAAGATCCCTTGGATATTTTTTTGCCCAGCATCCTTTCCAACACGTACCTCGCCTTCCTCTCGATTCTCGTCGGTACTCTTCGATCAGTCTGGCAAGAAACCTTCGTCTCCCTGTACCTGTCTACCAGGATCTTGCAGTCGCTCAACCTTCGAATCGCCCTTGTCCACGATTTCACGTCGGAATTATGCGCCCCCGCACTCGATGGCTGTCTCGAGCTGTTCATACATTCGTCGAAGCGTTGCAACTCGCGGACGCAGTCGTTGTAACTGACTCCCTCGTTTAGCATCGACAGACAAAGAAACACGTGCCAGGACTTTTGTCGCGGATGATTTTTAGTGGTGTTTCTCGCGGTAAATTTCAAAGTTTCAAAGCTGGCTTTCGGCGAGTGTTGCATCAGGCCGAAGAGCGCTCGATTTAGGCTGAAAGACGATCCGTGCTTTCTCGCGTCCATCATTTCCAGGAGACATTGAAACAGTCTGTCGCTGTAGTCGGCTACATCGTGCACTACACCAAGGAACTTGAAGCCGTTGGCTTGCCTGCTTAGCTGCTGCAATTGCGTCAATGGTTCAGTTCGCGGATTTTCGTGAGAATTAATTTGCAAACGTTTGCATTCGTAGACTCTCGATTTGTCTCGTTTGTACAAACCTTGCTTCTCTCCCGGAAAATCGCGTTCTTCTCTCCCCCAAGGTACAAGCCGGTCGATGATCTAATTTCATTAATCATGTTCCCCAAGTCTCGTATCACGTACGCGCTCTGCAACAGCAGTTCAGAATACCAGTCGTCGGACAGCGGAGTCTCGTTCGAACTTTTCTCGTATCGTTGAACGGTATTAATCAGGCCAACATGATGGGCGAATTGCACGAGTCTTTCTCTTATTCTCTTGCATATTTCTCGAACAGTCGACAGCAGATTGTAGGAGTTGGACTCCGGCGCGATCGGTTTGTCTATTGGTTCCGCCATCTTTGAAAAGAAGTTCCGAATCGTTCTTTCCAAACGACGCACTTGGCTCGGATTGACCAAGACAAAATCCTGCAGAATTGGCGAATCATTTCGAGCAACATAATCGGAAACGGAGAAACGTGCAGCTAGACCTGTACGCGAAAGTACGAAATTCCATTCTAGAGAATCGTTAAGTTTGTATAATCGATATCGATATGCAAGTTGAAAGAAAGAGAAGGGAAATCCCTGTCTCTTCAAAGACTTACTTGAGAACACGAGAAACGAAATTAGCTTGAAAATCATGATGAGAAGAATAAGGTAAGTTACTTGCCAGCAACATCGTTTCTTCTTCACTCTTTTATACTCTAGCAATGGTGGTATAATTTTTTCGACGGTTACGGCGTGCGATACACACTTTCGATAACTAATATGAAATATTGCCTTGTTGCCTTTGTCGTTCCCAAGTGCATTTGCAGATTAAACTTTTTACCGTACGCATTACAAGTGTCCTCGCATTGACAGCTTTTATGAATTTCAAACGAAATATTACCGAATGAGCGAAACGTGTAAAGACAAGCAATGGGAAACGAGATTTACAACTTTAAAGATAGGATCGAGGATTGGCAAAAATTGGTAAAAATTCAAAGATTTCTACTCAAACTCCCTTCAGTTTTCCTCCTATTATTCAATTGCAGAACTTTCAAGAATTGTCGACTCGGCACATGAGAATATATACTAAGTACGTTGCTAAATACATAGTGAATAAATTCGATGGATACAAGGATTCGACATCGACTTCCGGGAGGATGATGCTAATGACACTCGACGAGACGAATTCTAAAATCATCTCTCGGTTATTTCAATCATTCTTGGCAACTTTACAACCTCCTCTGATATATATATATACATGTGGCACCTGTCACGCGAATTGCATGATGTCATCGCGATGACAATTCCTATCCCTCAACGTTGACTCACCGACCAGTGATTCGAGAATCGTGGCGCCATCCGGAGCACCGGGACCAAGATCTGCCAACAAATCTCAGTTTCCACGAACAAAACACAACGCTCGTGGAAACTGAGATAAAACCATTTCTGCTGCCTTCGTGTAAAAGTGTCTTAAATGACGTAACAATCGGGCAGAT